GGTCGCGCTCCTGGAGGACACCCGTCGTCTCTGCCACCCCCCAGGTCTCGGCCTCTGTGAGCTCTCGTCTCGGCTGACCCTGGAGCCTCCTGTCTAGACGCCCTGACTGACTCCATTCTGGCACCCAGCAATCAGTCCTTCACAGAGTTAGCATAATTTTCTTAAAACCCTAAGTCCGATAGGTCACTCATCTGCTACCAGTGCTCCAGAGGCTTCTAGTCAAAGTGAAAATAAAATCCACATTCTTTACCCTTTTTCTTTAGAAGCTGTCTTAGCTTCTAAGCTAAGGGCTCAGGCTGCTGTAACAAAATACCCGAGATCGGATGGCTTATAAACAACAGAAATTTATTTCTTCCTGTTCTGGAGGCTGCGAAGTCCAAGCTCAGTACTCGGGCACATCCAGCGTCTGGTGGGAGCCGCTTTCTGGTTCATAGACAGGTGTCCTCCTGCTGTGTCCTCATGTGGTGGAAGGGGCCAGGGGGCTCCGTGCGGCCTCTTTTGTGAGGCTGCTGATCCCAGTCACGAGGGCACCACCCTCATGACCTAATCACCTCCCAAGGGCTCCTCCTCCTAATACCATCACCTTGGGGGTTGGAATCTCAACATGTGAGTTCTAGGGGTACCCAAACCCTCTGTCCTTAATGGAAGCCCTGTGTAATCTGGCTCATACTACCCACCCTCCCCCCAACCCCGTTGCTCTGCTTTCCCCAACTCTGATGTCACTCCAACCACACCGGCTGCCTTTCCCGCCTAGAGCACACGTACCTTCACTCCAAGGCCCTGGAGCTGACTGATGCCTTTGCTCATAGAGCTCTCCCCACTGGGGTCTTCTGGTGCACTCCTTCCTCAGACTCACTCCCACTTAGAAGTCACCCCGAGAGAGGGCTCCCTGGGCCACCCAAATCCATGAAGCCACCTGGTCACTCTACATTTTAATTAATTCAGCCTTCTTTGGCTGATATATATATAGGTTGATTTTTTTTTTTTTTTTTTTTAGCGGC